GTAGAGCAAGGAGGAGATGTGGCCGGGTATGGGGATCTTGTGTAGAGCAAGGAGGAGATGTGGCCGGGTATGGGGATCTTGTGTAGAGCAAGGAGGAGATGTGGCCGGGTATGGGGATCTTGTGTAGAGGGAGGAGGAGATGTGGCCGGGGTATGAACATACTATCTTATCTTATCTTATTTTATACTATTTTATCTTGTCTTAACTATCTTGTCGTATCTTACCTCATTTTACCTTACTCTAGAATTGTCTTGTCTTATCTTATCTTATTTTATTTGATCTTATTTCGTCTTATCTTATTTTATTTCATCTTGTCTTATCTTATTCTAGATTTGTCTCTTCTTATCTTATCGTATTGTATCATATCTTATCTTATCTTAAATTGTCTTATCTTATCCTAGCCTATCTCATTTTACCTTATTTTATCCTGTCTTATCTTGTCTTATCTTTGTTTATCTTATCTTATCTTATCTTATCTTATCTTATCTTATCTTATCTTATCTTATCTTATCTTATCGTATCTTATCTTATCTTATCTTATCTTATCTTATCTTATCTTATCTCGTATAAAGCAAGGAGGTGATAAGCCGATGTTATGTAGATTGTGTAGGCCGTATACTATGCTATGAGGATCTTGTAGACGAAGTAAAGAGCATAATCTCCTGAAAACTGACACGCCAGCTCAATGGAGAAACGCGCTGGAAAAATCAGGGGACATAATACTGTACAACTATTACTCCTGGCAGAAGTTTACGAATTGTGTCCCTTCTAATATGTTTTCATGAAGTCTTTCTCCGAATAAAACATTGATGCTCTCTCACTTCAACTTTCTTGTTTTTTATTTTGTTGAGCGCCAATCTTTTGGACATATTGTTATTTCGAATGACAGTTTAGTAAAAAAAAACAACCTACAAAAAACAAAAATACAACAAACAAACAAAAAACAACAACGAACAAACAGGGTTCGGGGAGGGGGGGGGGGCGGTGCATGCACATCTGTAATGGGTCGCTTTTAAAGATTTCGGGGGTTTCCAGAAATCTCAAACGAAACAACAGAGGGCAAGAAAAAAGTGGGACCTAGCACAGGTGCCCTCTCACCAAACGTTTGAAAGGAAGTGCTAATTTGGTCAGATAAAACTATAATAAATATTTAGAATACACGGTGATTTTAAAAAATACCGTACAACTTTTTATTCTGAATATCTCGCACAAACATTGCAAGAGGATTTTGCGTTTTAGAACAGTCATTATTCATTCAAAAGGAATTTGTTTGACATAAAATTCATAAAGACAAAACTTTATTTTGAAAACGAGAACGGCCTTAAGAAAAAACAACCCCACCCATAAACGCAAATTCACCAATTAAAAATCCTTTCAGGGAAGTTACGAATCGATTGGTTTGCTTTTTCCCTTTGCTCCCCTTCTAGCATTTAACTTTTCCGTCACGTACCATTCAAACAATGTTTCATGTTTCTTATTGGAGTAAAGAACTCACATTGTTATTTTAGATTTCTTAGAGCCACTGCTCTACATGTCTTCCTTTGGATTGCAAACATTTTTGACACGCCAAACCATGAATGCTTCAAACCGCACACACACTGTAAACTTTTCATTACCAAGTGTCTTCTCGATATGATAGAGGCCAGGTGAGGTGCCCAAATAGACAGCATTTGTGGAGTTTATAGTCCTGAAAGGTGAACATGGGGTAATTTTGCTTCAGTCAAAACACGTTTTATGTTACTCTTGTACGTTGTGCTGTATTGTAAAGCGCTCAGATTCAGAGCCTGTGTACTAAATCGAGGTTGAGCGCTATATAAATGTCATTTATTATTATTATTATTATTATTATTATTATTATCATTATTATTATTATCATTATTATTATTATTATTATTATTATTATTATTATTATTATTTATTTTGTTTTTTTAATTAAACATTTAAAAAAAATTATTAGATCTATTATTATTATTATTATTATTATTATTATTATTATTATTATTATTATTATTACATGGGGTCTGCTACTGAAGCAAATGTCACTGAGGAAATGTTCACACTTTTCAAGATGACCGAGGAACCATGAACACATTGCTATCCTCTGATCCATGTCAGCATCAGGAACATGAAAATGATACTTTCATAGGTGAAGATCTACCCTGAGAAAGCGGACCGTTGGGAGGTAGGAAAGTTCTAGCTACAGACATCGTCAACGGACAGATGTCTCAGGGCACTCGACTATTGATTTCTGTATCCTAGTGGCATTTAAAGAGCTGCGAACTGCGCATTTTCGACCTGAAATGGGTTTTTTAAAAGGAATTTTTCATTCTGATATTCTATAGATCCAAACTGACGGAACAACTCTACCAAGGACATAAAAAGGATTTGAGGGAACCTCAGCTTTCTTTCCGTAGTTTGAGAGAAACTTACGAAATGTCCGGCATGATGAGTTGGAGGCGAGGTAATGCTCGATACAAAAACGCTCTCTGCTCTTGACTAAACTGAATTGTGATCTCAACAGGCAAAGGAAACTTGAGAAGAACATTAGCTGCAAACTTCTATTGACTTGTTAGACTACTGTAGCTTGCAATATGGTGCGATCGTTGCAACTTTTAGATCAAGCGGCCGACCTCATGCGTACTGGTGCGTCATGCCACACAAATGGGGACATGCCACACAAATGGGGACATGCCACACAAATGGGGACATGCCACACAAATGGGGACATGCCACACAAATGGGGACATGGCAAAAAAATGGGGTTTTTTCTTTTGCGCTGTACAGAGAAAAACTGTTCTGTGGAACCATCTAACATGAATTTCAGACAAATTCCTTTTGGCAGCCAAATATTGTGTTTAAATTTGAAACAGAAAGCGACAATGTTGAGGAAAATATTTACCCAAAAAGTTGTACAGTTGGTTTTAAAAAAAAATATCACCCGGTAAATAAAGACGTTCACACCACCACCAACAACGACAACAACAACGACAACAACGACAACAACAACGACAACAACAACAACAACAACAACAACAACAACAACAACAACAACAACAACAACAACGACAACAACGACAACAACAACAACACCAGTTACATTTGAGCTTTAGCAATACTTTTTAAATATTTTAACTTCATGTGTTTGTACACCTCCATTGACACAATTGAGATCATTTAGGAGGCGGGCTTCGGGCCCTGTCTGAGTCTGAGAGGGATGCAACATTGCGCCAGAAAGACAAAGTCAGAGATACTCGATAGAAATTTCAGCCCACTCGGGAATCGAACTCGGGTCTCCTGCGTATTATAACGAAGTGGCTAATCGCTACAATACAGAAGTGGTGGGTCTGAGCTTTAGTACTAAAAACTGAACCTAAACAAACATACGTGGAATGTTGCCATTTTTTTCTTCCTCAAGATTTACGTGTTTGGGCCACCAAGAACTTCTGGAAGTACTTTCCTTTCTTTACGACTTCGCTGAAAGACGAGACCGTAAGCCAAACAGGCGTGTCGGCCGGTTCCCGCCACACACAGACCTACCTGTAAACATTCTCCAACTAGGTCACAGTTATACGTTCAGAAAAGAAATTATCAAGCCGTTTTAGTACCAACCACTTTCCCATAAATCCTAGAGGATTGTCAAGGGTAGGAATTCAGTTGGAAGTAAAAAGAATCATCAGCGGAAAGGTTTAGAATTTAATGTGCACTTTAGTGCTCTTATCTTCTATCCACAGGATGGGGGAAAGCGCTAGCTCCCACAGAAGTGGTATAGGTACAAAGAGTGTGCAGAAACAGTAACGATAGGCTAATTGAAAGAAGACACTCGCCATTTTAGCAACTATAGGCTAATAAAGGAATGGAGCTACTCACCCTTTGGAGAGATTGTTGGTCCGAATTTGTGTAGGCCGAACGACTCCATCTTGGAGGTCTGCTGGATCAGGGGGAAAATATGTGAGAAATGAAATCAATGGTCTGAACTTAAGGATTCTGCTTTGATCTAGCCTGTTGTTGTTGTTGTTGTTATTGTTGTTGTTGTTGTTGTTGTTGTTGTGTTGTTGCTATTGTTGTTGTTGTTAGTGTTTCTGTTGTTGTTATTGTTATTGTTGCCATTGTTGTTGTTGTTGTTGTTGTTGTTGTTGTTGTTGTTGTTGTTTGTTTGTTTGTTTGTTTCTGAAGGTGGTTTACACCCCCCCCCCAAATAAACAAAACAAAAAATTAAATAAAAATCAACACAATCTAGATCTACACCATGTCCTATCGTCTAATACTAAAATACATTGATAACTTTCACGTCTGTTGGCTCTTACGTAAAACTACAACAGTTTGGACTGACGAAGTGTCTGTCTGCAATATTGCACTCCCTGTTCTACAAACCAACTCCGTGAAAAGTTTATTTTCGTTCTTAACAGGATCCTTCAATTTTCTTCGGTGCAAACATTATGCCCCCCCCCCTTTCAAATCTC